CGTTGAGTTGAGATATATTCCTTCTATGCGTAAATTGTTCAGGTTTTACTACTTTATTGTTCACATGACAACTTGGACCATTCTTCTCCACTGCTTTTCCCTGGCACATTATCAGAGATTTGTTCTGGAAGAGGATCAGCCAGGACTTGAACTGGCACTCTGACATGTGATGTGTGTATTGCAGGTGGCAGATTAGCTCACTGTGCCACAACACCAGCCCCTACGTGTGCCTTCTGAAAAGATTTCTTTGGCTAAAGCAAGAAGCACAGATGGGATAGGAGCAGAGCTGATGTGACAGGATGAGCCGGTTGGCTTATATTCTGCAGCAGCATTAGTGGAAACAGGAGAAGTTGATAGCTTTGACAGATTTGATAAAATCGGGAAGACTTGAAATATGATTGGGGTAAAAGTGAAGACAAATGCCTTGGTTTCCAGTTTGCACAACTGAGTTGACAATGGCTTAGGAAACAGCAGAATAAGGTCATTTTTTGTATGAAATTGGGAGTGCAGTTTTGGACTTGCTGAGGTTGAGGTATGAGTGAGATATCCAAAAGTGATGGTGACGGCTATATAAGAGCGTATACAGGTCTCATGAAGATAGAAGAGACAAGGATGGTGGCCATATTTATGTCTCATCACGTTTGAGATCAAAGCTGAAGTTATTAATGAAATAACATCAGCAAAGAAAAACGAATGAGAGAGTATCAAACAAACTACCCGCATCTTGGCAGCTGAAGTTAAGTCATTACGGCCAACAGAGAGGCTATAGAGAATCACTATTCTTGAAGGTAAAAACAGGCAAGAGATAGAATCAAGATTCAAATAAAAATAACACACTCAATTTACAATTAACTTGAGTGCATGAGTGTGCCTGGATGACCCCTTTCCACTACCTATTTAGCAAGAATACTGACAATGCTGTCATGGAAGTACCTCTTGGCTTATGCATTTCTAAGAACATTTGGTATTGGTTTGCGTGTTGCTGGCTTGCTTCTCCTTGTTTGCAAAGAGAAAAGGAGTTCAGATGCCTTTATCTGTCAATTGTTTGGGGAAAACACCCAAGAAGAGAAAAGCTCCTCACCCAGCCCACCAAGTGCTATCCTGGGAACCTGATTAAACCTGGACTTCCTCTATTCACGTTAGAAGTTTTAGAAATGTATAGCAGAAAATGGAAGGGGCATTTAGAGCAGTTTCCATCTGTTAAATAGAGAAAGAAACAAAAGTCTTCAAGGGTAGAATTAGAACTCTGCTAATTTGTGTTGACATGCAAACAATCTTTCAAGTGAGAAACTTACTCTAGTTGGCATTCTTTCTTAAAGAGTATTTCGAAGCACCCAGTCTGATTTCCAAGATGTTAACAGATATGTTCTAAATGTGATGAATCACTTAAAAGAAAGGGGAAAACATTTTATTCTGCAGTAGTTGTACTTTCTGACTGATGTAATACTACATTTAGGAGTACTCTCTGGCAGGAACACATCCAAGGACATGGCATGCCATTGCTCTTTCCTGGTCTTTCTGGGGCTTGCTACTATGGTTTCTTCAGCACTAAATTTGGACGTTGGGATATCTTTGCAAACATACATCATTGCCACTTAAGCCAACACTCCTCTGGTATGTCGACTATTTTCCACTTGGTACATACTTCCTACCACATTATCGTGAATCATTTTCCATTACAGTTCTAGTACCCTGTCTTTAAACGAAGTCTTTTCCTGCTATAAAGAAAATGTACAACATATATGAGGGGCTAGAAAGTTTGTAGAAAATGTGTATTATGAAGAAACTATTAGTAGATTTTAAAATATTTCTCCCCTTGGCTGGCGCTGTGGCTCACTAGGCTATTCCTCTGCATGGGGCACCAGCACCCCGGGTTCTAGTCCTGGTTGGGGTACCAGATTCTGTCCCAGTTGCCCCTCTTCCAGTCCAGCTCTCTGCTGTGGCCCGGGAAGGCAGTGGAGGATGGCCCAAGTGCTTGGGCCCTGCACCCGCATTGGGGACCAGGAGGAAGCACCTGGCTCCTGGCTTCGGATTGGTGCAGCGCACCGGCTGTGGTGGCCATTTGGGGGGTGAACCAATGGAAGGAAGACCTTTCTCTCTGTCTCTCTCTCTCACTAACTTTGCCTGTCAAAAAAAAATTTCTCCCCAAATAAACTTATCTTTTAATTCCACTTTCTATGAACTTTTTGAAATACTCTCCTATTAAAATAGACTTACACAAATATGCATACTTTATAAAAATAGTATAAATATTTATATCCAATAAAATTTATATGTAAATTCAGATCATCTTTTAATATCTTATAAAAATTATGGTAAATTCATGTGATCTAATAGTTGTGAAAAAAAAATTTCAATGAACTGACCATTGCACTGAGAGTAGAACATTTCTTCAGCACTACTCCCTGCACTCCAGAATCCAGTGTTTTCTAGAGCAAAATTCCAAACATCGCTTAAAGTGATAGAAAGGCCATGTCTTTCACTTTCAAGACATACAAATTAGACTTGCATGTTTGTGTGTGTGATACATGTTTGTTTATGTGCCTAAGTATGTGCAGCGTGTTTGTGAGTCTCTATGTTATGGAGATATTGAAAAACAACTTTATTATTAATTTTTGAAAGGGACACACACACAAAGTGACAGAAACACAGATTAAAATCTCCCATCTGTTGATTTATTCCTCAGATGGCTCTAAGAGCCAGAGCTGGACCAGCCTGAAGCCAGGAGCCTTGAACTCAATCTAAGTTGGGGGAGGAACCCAACAGGGTTGGGTGGAAGAACTCAAGTAGTTGAGCCATTACCTATTGCCTCTTCCCAGCATGTGCATTAGAAGGAATCTGGAATCAGGAGTAAACCCATAACTGAATCCAGGCATTGCGATATGAAATGTGGGCATTCCAAGTGGCATCTTAACCTCTATGCCAAACGTTCATCCTGATAACTTTTTTAAAAAAGAATTTTATCTATTTGAAAATCAGAGCGAAAGAGAGAGGGAGGAAAAGAGGGAGATCTTGTATTCAATGGTTCTGTTTGCAAATGACCCAACAGCCAAGAGCCCAGGACTCCATCCAGTCTCCCACAGAGGCCATCATTTGCTGTCTTAGACACACATTAGCAGGAGGCAGGATTGGAAATGGAGGAGCAGAGACTTGAACTGACACTCCAGTATGCGCGTATCAAGAGACAGCTTATCCCACTGTGCCACAATGCTGCCCTGATAAATTATTTCTTACATGCATTTTTTTACTTGACAATAATTCTGATTAATTCTTAATAGACATATGAAAATAATGTTTTATATATACTCAGTCTATTCAAAATATATGATGTAGTAATTATAAAAATATATCTTTAAAATATCTTTTAGTGGAGATATAGATATAACTCAATTAAATTTGATATTTATCTTTAAATTTTGATATTCCAATGATTCTTCAAGGGAATTTGCCAGTATTGTTATTTTTAATCTCTCATGTTATGGGTCTGGCACCAAAAGTTTCCCGAGAGAAAATATGAAAAGTTCATTTATAAGTAAGCATCTGATTTCACATTTAAGAAAAATTTTCTTTCCCTGTGAATAATACTTATTTAATTTAAAGATTTATTTATTTATTTGAAAGGCCAAGATGGAGAGAAAGAAGGAGAGTCTGAGGGAGGGAAAGAGAAAGATCTTCCATCTGCGGGTTCATTTACTCCCCAAATGACTGCAATGAACAGGGCTGGGCCAGGCTGAAGCCAGGAGAAAAGAGTTTCATGTGGGTCTCCCACATGGGAAGCAGGGGCCCAAGCATTTGGGTCCTCTCCCCTTGCTTTTCCAAGTATGTAAGCAGGGAGCTGGATCAGAAGTGGAGAAGCTGGGACATGAACCGGCATTTATATGGGATGCCAGCATTGCAGACAGTGGCTCAACCTACTATGCCACAGTGTGGCCCCTATACTATTTTTAGGTTTATTTACTTATTTTTTGAAAGGCGGAATGAAAGATATATAGAGAGACACAGAGTACAAGAGATCTTCCAACCACTGGTTCATTCCCCAAATGGCCACAATATCTGGGAATGAGCCAGGCTAAAGTCTTAGGAGCTGGAACTCCATCTGATTCTCCCACATGAGTGGCAGGTGTCAAGCATTAGGACCATGATCCCCTGCCTCCCAGGAACATTAGCAGGGCACATTAACCCTACTAAAGACATTAGCAGGAATCTGAGAAACAGAGTAGCATGGACTCAATATGGCACTCTGATATGGATGATGACATTACAAGCAGCCGCTAAACCTACTGTGCCACAACATCAGCCACTGGAAATAATATTTTAAATCTAGCCTTTTTGGTCATCAAGAGTAGTTGTGTGAGGTTCTGGTGGAAATCAGTCATTCTCAAAGTGTGGCCCAGAACAGAATCACTTGGGATCTTGCTAGAAACACAATTGTTGGGGACGGAGAGGTGAAGCCTCCACTTTCAATGTTGACATCCCATATAGGTGCTGGTTTGAGTCCCAGCTGCCCCACTTCTAATCCAGCTCCCTGCTAATGGCTTGGGAAAGTGGAGGAAGATGGTCCAAGTACTTGGGCCCCTGTACTCACATGGAAGACCTGGAAGAAGATCCTGGCTCCTGGCTTTGGACAGGCCCAGCTCTGACCATTGTGACCATTTAGGAAGTGGACCAGTAGATGGAGGATCTCTTTCTCTCTCTCTCTCTCTCTCTCTCTCTCTCTCTGTAACTCTGCTTTTCAGTTGAATAGATAAATTTTAAAAAGAAGGACAAATGCTCAGAACCCATCTCACACCTACTGCATTAGAACCTGGGGGTAGGGTTGAAACCATCTGCTTCAATAAGCCCTGCCAGTGATTCTACTGCAGGTAAAATTTGACAACCACTGACCTACATACATTATAATGTAATATAACCCTACTAAAGCCATTCAAGTAATCCCAACTATAAGCTCCTGCTTAATATATAAGGCCAGTAAGAACAGCACAACTTGTAGTGTTGAAGAGAACAGCTTTAATTAATTTAATGACAACATTTGGGATTTTTAAACTATAAATTGTTAAAATATTATCGAGATTTAAATCAGACACCCCTGCCTTCCATTGTAATTCTTTGGGGGTGTAGATGCTCAATTCATTCAGTGCTGTCATCCCCTATTTTATAATGACAATTTGAAAAGCACACCTACATTTTAAATCCTTCAGCAAAACTTCGGAAGATCTCCTCATCTCCACGATCTGAAGAATTCATGACATTGCTGAGTAGGTGATGGGTGCACAGGAGGCGGATGCCTTCGTTTTCTTTGCAGTTTCCTATGTGAGTGTGTACTTAGGAAGCCAGAGAACAGATTTTCCAAGATTTAATGAAGATCTAGGTCCCATAACATACTGTATTCCATTTCTCCCATTTTTGTGTGAACACTGTTATGTGTTACAAATTGGAAAGTTCTTCCATAATGCTGGCAATATGTGTTTCCTATTCCAACTGTCTAGTCAGGAATAAGTTTTGATAACTAATCAATACAGAGTTCAGTTCAACTTCTCCACAATGAAATGAGAATACCTTTCTGGAATAGTAGGAGACTAAAGGGAATTGAAGGCAACCTAACTTTTTTTTTTTCTCTCTAGAAGTTACTTTCGTATAGAGGAAGGGCACTGATTTATATGGGTGAATCGTGTGATAATGTGACTAGACATTGAAGTATGCCATAAAATTGGAAGAAAGTTACAATGAACTGAAAAATCACTCTTACATTTCATGCCCCAGTATCTAAAGGCTGTAAGAGGAATCGCCTTTTTTTTTTTTTTTTTGACAGGCAGAGTGGACAGTGAGAGAGAGAGAGAGAAAGGTCTTCCTTTGCCGTTGGTTCACCCTCCAATGGCCGCCGCGGCCGGTGCACCACGCTGATCCGATGGCAGGAGCCAAGTATTTATCCTGGTCTCCCTTGGGGTGCAGGGCCCAAGCACTTGGGCCATCCTCCACTGCACGCCCTGGCCACAGCAGAGAGCTGGCCTGGAAGAGGGGCAACCGGGACAGAATCCGGCGCCCCGACCGGGACTAGAACCTGGTGTGCCGGCGCCGCAGGAGGAGGATTAGCCTAGTGAGCTGCGGCGCCGGCCATGAGCAATCTCTTATACATCTATTGTTTATACTTATTATATTAAAATATGAGCATCTCCCCAGATTGCATGCCCAATATCAAATAACTTCATAACAATGTTGGCTAATTTTAAAGCCTTATGTTAATGGGCCAAATAAAATGTTCTGGGGTATGTGGGTAGAGTGGATAAAAGAGAAAAGAGAATATTATTTATGGACAAACTTAGAACACTTATGAACAAACCAACTACTTCATAATTTCATGAGGAAAGTTGCAGTATTATGTTAAGTGTTTTTATTTAACGTACAATTGCTATATTGATCCAAAGTGAAAAGAGTGGCTTATAAAATACAGTGCTTGTCCAATTTGTACCTTGTTTCTCACATGAAAAATATTCTGAAGGTCATCTTTTTCTCCCAGTTTGATTATTTTTTATTTCACTAAAATCAGTTAATTTGGAAGAGAGTGAAACTACGAGAAAGGGTTGGTTGCTGCCTCATCAGGCAATCAGACACAAGATCAACACAGCTGTTGGAGCCAAACCAGCTGGGAAGATTCTTGTCAGAGGCTTGTCAGGGCCACAGGAGAAGAAAGCATTGTTGTCACGTGGGGTGATACCAGCAAAGATTTATTAATTTATTCCTTCAAGAGACATTTAAAAACAGTGCCATGCTCTCAAAGATTATAAAACAGCTTAATTTTAATATGGGTAGAATTTTGGCTGTTCTGAAACCTCTTCTTTCAAATGCAAATACTACTTTCTTTGAAAATTTGGCGTGTCACATTTATTCTTGTTAGTTTGAAGCAAGATACACCATATTGCATATTAATATTTTGTGTATAATACATTTATTTGCATACAGAAATATGTATTTCTATTGTACATTATATTATTTTATTTATAATATATATATTAAGCATACAGCATATTCCAGGAAGATACATTAAATATGCACACAGTTCATGCTACAGCGTGCACCCATTTAAAGAGAAGCATAGTGAAGAGGCATGGTATTGTATGTACATGCGAAAATACACTTTGCACAGTTTCATCCAGCTTTGGGTGCTTTCCTAATCTATTTGCAACACCAGTGCTATGGTTGTTGAAAGGGAGATTATCAAACTGGGTGGTCGGCAACTATCAAGGAACTGAGTAGGAGAACGTAAAAGTAGACTGCATTGCTGAGTAGTTGTTGCCATCATTCCGTGCTCCCTCCTCCCCCAGTGTCAGATCTTTAGGATCACAAAAGCAGTGAATACAAAGCAGACTGTGGGACATCCGGCTTCCACAATTCAAATCAGAAAGCTTATTTTCTTGTGACTTCTTATATTTTGTATCTTAGTTCTAATAATTGGGATCTGGTATTAAATAAATAATGAATGGGTAAAAGGGCAATCATTTGTTTTCTCAATAAATGAAATGACTTTTCATATTCTTGATCTCCTCTTCTTATAAGACCACTCTAGGATATTTACATTATTGCTATGAGGAGAGAAGAAATAAGACTTGACAGGTATCCATCTTTCCTGTGAAAGCAAAGGATATGAACCATGCTGCTTACGAAACAGGCTCTTCAAAGGAAAAACGGCAGCTCCAACAGAAACTGACTGTATCAACTACAACCATTTTGATGGGCAACTACTGGAACCCCAGTTGACTAGACTGTGTAGCAATTATAATCAGACATAAAAATGGTGGAACAATGTGCCATGTGCATGGTCTGGTGGTTTCTGAAATATACATGTGATCTGTTTTCCCAATGTGAATTATAAATAAAAGCAACTCAACAGTTGAGTGTTTCTGATACGTGATTGGTGAGCATTACTTTTTTCCCACAGGTGAGCAATTTGCATTAAAATTCTACAAATGATGCAGGGTTATTTTTCCACTTACAGGAAGCAAGCTATGGAAATTCTTTAAGATAAATAACAGTTTCTGAACGTTGGAACTATTTTGACATTTTGAGTCAAATGAATCTTTTGGAGTGGGTAGGGAACTGATCTGGGCATTGTAGCTTTAAAATGCACTACTAGAAGCAGTCCTAGCCTCTACCTACTAAATACCTTTCTCCCTGCTGTGACAATCAAAAATATCTCTGTACATTGATAAATGTCCCCTGGGAGGGATTGTCCCTGGCCAAGAGCCTCTGAAATAGACAAATTCAGCAATAGTTAGTACACATTGTTGAATACAGTTTCTATTTCTCTACAATTCTTTTCAGTATTCCTTTCACTTTTATGATTCCGGTTGAACAAGTTTCCATGGTGTGTCAGTCTACCTCCAATCCTTTTCTTTAGCTTGACAGTTTCTCTTTCAGTACAGTTGTGGTGGCTCTGGTGATGATGGAGAACAGAAGAAAGGCAAGGATACAATGGCAACAGAGAGTAAGGGACAACTGGACTCATAGTGAGTGGGACTGTTAGAGCAAACAAAAGGAGACCGAATTCTGATGGCTTAGCTCCAAAGGGGTCATTCCAACTGAATCTGTATCTACATTACAGTAATACTACAAATTAAAGCGTGATATTCTAGGCCAGTCAGCCAGTTTTATTTACAGGAAACCAGAAGCTCACTGGCCCAGAGTTCTTTCCACTCAACTGACACGTTCATTTGAATGAACAACATAACAATGAATATGGATTTAAAATGTGGAAGTTCACACGGATGTCATTGAGTCTTTGTAAAGGAATCTATATGAACTGACGCTATAAATTTACACATAGACCATGCTGGTGGGGAAAATGACTAGCTATTCAAACAAGAAGTTATTTAGCAAAGATATAAATATTGTTGGCAATTTGCTTTTTGCTAACTTACAACTTTTTGCTGTTGTTTCCCTTGTGCTTATTAAAAAAAAAAAAGTCTACAAGTTGTTGAGATATTGTCAATGTGCCAAGTCATTTAAAATACTTCTAATAAGTTCTGTGGTCTAATACTGACTAATTCATCATGTAACTCACATCAATAGTACTGAGAAGGATATCACAAAATCTATAATGCAAAATATAAAATTTGAAAATAATATAAATTTGATGTCTATTGATTGAGCCTTTAAAAATTTGATTGGAAGACTATAGCAAGTAGTGTTAGAAAATCATATGAGGGATAAAAAGTAGTTAAATGTGAATCAATATAATACTGTATTTACTTGGACTACAATGTCCCTACACAGGCAAGATTCTGTATGATGTCACCATTTAGATAATAGTGTCTGACATGACATTTTGTGGTGTGGAATCAGGGTGAGAAGAGAACATGACAACAGCCATCTACATTCTTCTGTCAGATTCGGTGAGTTCATTTGGCCTCTGTTTTTTTATTCACTACATTTTTGTCATAGAGATTACTATCATTCTATTAATGGAGAATTTTAAAACTTGTAGGGTGAACTGACTCTTTTAGGAATATGCATTTCCTTTTCTTCCTCTCACTGGCTCCTAGGATGGTTATAGAAAACCTCACTTGATTATAATTTGAATATCATTTAGCAGAGCTCAGTCTCTTGGGACTGACCCAGTAGTCACTGATGCCCTGTGAATATCTTAATCTTGTTTAGGATTCTAAATGAATAAAGCAGCATTTTCTTCCTGCTGACAAAAGTCAGGAGTTCCTATTTCACAAGTTAACATTTCCTTTGTGAGTCAGTTTGATTCAGATCGAAATAGAATGCCCTTCTATCCTTTTATTTTCCTATCTCAAAATTCATTTGGCCTCACTTTCTCCAATTATATTGACCAATATTTAATTTGATTAAGCCTCAATTTTATGATGACTTTGCTTTCTCAAGCACATTTATTCTATTAAAATAAAATGTTAGGTAAAGAGTAAACCAGACTTATGGGAATCTAAGGGAACTAAATCTTTATAGGCTTTTATACCTCAAAGAATGTAAAAGACATAGTGTCAGGGTGTCTCTGCCTGGATTTAGTGTAAGTCTTGCAGGCATTGTCCATCCATAATGTAAAATTGGCAAGTACAAAAGTAATGCTATAACAAGAATAAAAATGGTGTGACCTAGTTGGGATTTTTGTTTGTCTGCTTTCTTTTCATAGTGGGAAAAAGGAAAGATGAAAAAACATCATATTACATTCAACCCTCCAAATAAGACCACAACAAAATAACAGTAGATGCCTAACCCTCTGGAGATCATTTTTGCATCCTTTCTTTTTTGAATTTTCTTTTGTTGCCTCTCTGTCTTTACATTCTCTTTCTTTAAGTTTCTATCTCTATGTTGGCTTGCAATAATGGCATTTCATCTTCATATGCACACATGAAAACAAACAAAAAATAACAAAAAAAGGAATGAGGTTACACTTCTTGTGCAGAGATTGGTAAAATTGTAGATTCAGAAGCCCTTCTTCAAGAGAATATGAGAAAGCATAGATTATTCCTTAAATCCACAATTCCGACACGTCTCTTTCATTGACTCATCGCTCTGAAACTGACAGTGTTTGTAAGGTACAAGGTTTTCAAACTGTAACATAGGCATGAGAGTGTCACTGTTGGACTCCTTACTCTCACATTCCATAATAAGACTATAAAGTGCAATGGCAGAGATTTAAAACCAGTTCTTTTATCCCTTTTAGTCTTCCCACCTTCTTTCCAAGATGTTTTACCTTGTAGCGCCTATGTTCTTGTAATGACACATGAGGAGGTGTTTAAAAGTCTTCTTGAAGGTGGCATTACAAAGTGCATAGCAGGCCGGGTTGATGGTGCTGTTGATGTAACAGAGCCAGTAACCAATTGTCCACACAGTGTTGGGGATACAGGGTGTACAGAAGGTGTTAATGAGCACCATGACATTGTATGGGGCCCAGGTGATGATGAAAGCCAACAGAATCGCCAGGATCGTCCTAGTGACTTTCTTCTCCCGGGAAGGAGGAGGCTTCTTTTTGGCAGGCTGCTTAGTCATCTTCACAATCTTGCGGGCTACAATGTTCTGTTTCTCATCTCCATTCTGACCTGAAGACCCAACTAGCTCCACCGTGGTATTACTTGGGGTACACGAGTCACCTTTGGGGGTCTTGGTGACAATTTTGATGCAGGTTTGCTTAGAGTTCTCATCTTTGGAATGACCCAGGGAAGTGGAGACTGTGTTTTCATCCTGGGTGATTTCGTCATCTCTCATATTAGAGGCAACAGCGCTGACTGACGTGGAGTCGTTGGAGCTCTCTTTCTCCTCCCCTGGCACACAGTTTTCAGTCATAGCATCTCTGGGGGCTTTGCCATTTTGGATTTTGTTGTGCTCCAGGCCACCGTCACTGCTGGGCATGGTGTTGTTGTTTGGCTTGACTATCCTCCCCTGTACAAGACTTGGGGACACCGGATCTTGGTTGGCCACAGGCTCCTTCTTGTCCTTCTTTATCCTGCTCTTGCTGGCTCGTGAGATGTGCCAATAGAGCACAGTCATGATGATCACTGGCAGATAGAAGGCTGCAATGGCAGTGCCAAAGGTGACAGCAGCATTGGAAAAAAACTGGATGTAGCATTCCCCGTCCTTCACCGTTCTTACTCCCACGATGAACTGCCAGAACAGAATGGCTGGCGCCCAGAGGATGAAGGAGAGAACCCAGGCGGCTGCGATCATCATTCCTGCCATCTTTGTGGTCCGCTTGACTGGGTAGGTCAGGGGTTTCGTGACACAGAAGTACCTGTCAAAGCTGATGATAAGGAGGTTCATAACTGAAGCATTGCTGACCACATAGTCCAGGGCTAGCCAAAGGTCACACACAACAGGTCCCAAAGGCCAGTAGCCAATCACAGTATACAGCGTGTACAAGTTCATGGAGAAAACACCTATGATGAGGTCAGCACAGGCCAAGCTGAACAAAAAGTAATTGTTGACAGTTTGGAGGTGGCGGTTGACTTTAATGGAAACCATGACCAGGATGTTCCCAATAATTGTCACCAAACTGAGGGATCCAGCCACAAGGACAATGAATACCACTTCAAATGTCTTATAAGGACTGGTAAGGGCCAAGCCATTATTGGATGAGTTTGTAGAGTTATTCATTTTGTGTTCTCTAAGTGGTAGCCAAGTAGCCAAATTAACATGTAAACCTGCAGGGGAATAGAATACAATTATAAAATATAATATAAATATTGCTTTAAAATACATCAGATTTATTTCCTTTGAATCACATTTTTTTTCCTCTAATCTTTCCTTTTCCTGCATGTTTATTGAGCCTAACTACCCTGTTATTCCACTTAAAAGACAAAGATTAAAAAGACGACTCCTTTCAGGCTAGATACAAATATTTTTGTCTGTCATCTATCATCAATCAGTTAAGCTGAAAATAATACCTATGTTGAGCCAGACAGCCATAGTTGTACATAAAAATTTCTAAGCCATCAAAAGATTTCTAGAGCATATATAAATGTTAATAATCCAATGGGAAGACAAAATTATGGGAGGAAATACAAACCTTGTAATACTAAGCAGGTAACATTTCAGTCAATATCACCTTTTCTCCTGGTAGTTGTAAACTTCCATTTATTCATAATAGCAATGATGATAATCAAGAAGATTACTTAATAATATTTTGTTAGCCAATACACACCCCTGGAGAGGATTATTTTTCTTTGACCTCTATTTTATATCTACAATCAGTATCATCACATTAAATTTTATAATATTTCTTATCTTGCCAAAGAATAGGTATATATTAAATGCAGTTTAGTATAGTTATACCATGTGGCAATTGTAGAAAGTGCAGCAGGTTAAACTGCCACTTGGTATGAATGCATCCATGTCAAAGTGCCTGGTTTGAGTCTTGGCCACTGTGCTTCCAGTACAGCTTCCTGCAAACGCACCTGGAAAGATAGTAGATGATGCCGCAAGCACTTGAGTCCCTGCCACCCACCTCAAAGACTCAGATGAAGAACAGGCTTCCTGGCTTTGACCTGGCTCAGCCCTGGCTGTTGTGGGCATCTGGGAGTGAAGCAGCAGATGGGATATATCTCTCTATCCCTACCTCTATCTCTTATCATCTCTATCTCTATCTCTATCTCTATCTCTATCTCTATCTCTACCTCTACCTCTACCTCATCTCTATCTTTGTCATCTCTATGATATAGTATCCATATAGAATATAGGTATACCATATATTATATATGGAGACATATGTATATGTCTTTTAAATAAATAACATAATTAAAATAAATGCATATTAAGGTAATTATGCCAATATCTGAATATTTTATTTTGAAAACCAGTACCAAATCTGTTATATTGATTTTGAAGAATAGGAGATGGAGGCCCAGAATGATGACATAATTTATATAAAGTCGCAAATCAATCCTTGACAGAGCAGAGATTATGGGCCTTGGTTTCTTCAGTTGTTCATTCTTTCACTTTGTCTTACATCCCACTGAGCTACCACATCAGCTGCAATTAGGCACCACTGTGTACTCTGAATATTCAGAGTCATTAAGACAAGACCCCTGCCTGTGAGAGGTGTATGCTCTGGTGTGGGATAGCGGTTGCTAAAGTAGCAATGATCAAACCCAAATGTACCTTCTGCTGCCCGATCCTGTTGTTTTTAAGGAACACGTAATCTCAGTTCTTCAGACAGTGCAATCAAAACCTGGGGACAACTGAGAGATATCCTATAAGGGATAAAGTACGCTGCAGATGTAGGAAAGAAATTAACAGTTCACCCGAAGAGCTATGACACTTTTTAGAAAAAACAGCATCTGAAGCTGGAACTAACACACATTCCCCCTCCTCGTGAAAAATTAGTTTGTATGTCAGAAGAGAAGAATGACTAAGAGGTATTTGTTGGCTATTTAGTATCCAGTCGTTTCTATTAATTCAGATACTGCTGATTACAAAGAAATGATGTGAGTTAGAGGTTGGGGGAGTGGTTTGTCCCTGAAGTCCACGCAGAACGCATTTTGGAAAGCACCTTAAGATTAAAAATAACATTAAAACAAATGGTTTATTCCACTTTCAAAAGCAAATTATCCTTACACATTATACATAAAAAAGAGCAGCAAGAAAAAACAACTTAATATTGGAATGGAGCTTTGGCTTTAACAAATAAGACCAAAATTCATTATCATAAAGAAAAATATATGTAAGTACTACATAGTCAATATATGGTTTTGCATAGAAAAAAGTAAAACCAAAATTGGGCAATGATATTTGTGAAGCACATGATATACAATTACCCAACTTCTTTAACATGAAAGATTTGGGGAAAAAAAAACAAAGATACAAGCCTAATAATCCAAATCAATGATATACTTGTTAGATTAAAGAAAAAGTAAACATTGATGACTTTAAAGCATATGCAAAGATAATGACACAATTTAAAGATGAAAACTCATACAATGGAAAACATTTTTCCATTCATAGTGTTAAGGGAAGTGCTGTTAAACAGTTTGGGTAACCTCCATGGCAACAAATTATCTGTACCTGTAATAATTTAAATCTATAGCCATAGAAATTTTAAATTTATTAAGAAACATTTGTCTTGGGACTGTTGCATTTGGCAATTTATCTTTCAGCACTGGTTATTAAAATATGCAAAGAGATCTACAAAGAATGGTCATTTAGGTAATGTGCACTGAATGCATGTTTTTGTTATAAATAGAAAAACCTAGAAATATTAAAACCACTAACATAGGAATCATTAAATATAGACTATTTTTTACACTGGAATACTATATATATATATATACACACACACATATAATAGTGTTCAAAAATGTGTATTATAAAAAAACTATGCCTGAGGTTCCTTTTCTCTTTGCATGAAAATAAACTGTCTCATATTGGGATATTATTTTATTAATTTTATTTTATTTGAAATACAGCAATAGATAGAGAGAGTCTCATCCATTGGTCTACTTGCAAATGGCCACAACAGCTGAGCTGGGACCCTGTCAGGCTGAAATCAGGAACTAGGAACACAGTCTAGATCTCCCACTGGGTAGCAGGTATTCAGCTACTTGAGCCATCAGCCTTTGTCTCCTAGGGTTCACATTAGCAGGACAATAGAATCAGCAACAGAGCCTGGACTTAAACTCAAGTACTATAATATGCAATGTGGGTCTCCCAGTTAGTGGCTTAACCACTAGGCTAAATGCCCACTGCTATATTCCTCTTTTAATTCCATTTCCATGAGAGTGATAAAGTATCTTTATACACATATCCTAACATTGCTGTGGGAAGTTATATAGTTAGCAGATGCTGTGGTCAGAGAAAGCTATAGATTATTACAGGATATACTTATGTATAATGCACAGGATGATTATACATACCATCATACAGAGATTATGCTCTACATATAGATACATGGATATGTAGGTCACTGGGAGACACTGAAGAGTTTAATCAGGCGAATGATGGGAATGGAACACAATTCTTCAGTAGAATTGTTCCAACAGCATTTATCTTTGACACCTTTTGCTGTTATTCATCCAAATGTGTATTCATGTAATTTAGCAAAATGAAGCAATCTCCCCATTTCCACTCTCCTTCCAATTATTCCTTAATATTGCAAGTGACTCTCAGGTCAGAATTATGCCTTGTTTAGAAGCAGAACTTTTGCTGTCTCTTAGATAAATGTATGTGCGTTTCTGGCATGAACTATGTACATACGTATTTCATAAATGTTAATCAACTTTGTTGAAAAATACCAACTATTTACTTACTGAATATCCTGTATTTTTAATTATCTTTTAATATTCACTTGGTAAAGCACAGAACAATATTTTAGTTTTAAAAAGATTTTTGGGGGGCCGGTGTTGTAGCACAGGAGGTTAAGCTACTAACTGCATCCCATAAGAACACCTGTTTCAAGTCCCGACAGATTGGGTTGTGGCCATCTGGGGAATGAACCAGAGAATGCAAGTTCTCTCTATGTCTCTTTCTGTAACTCTTTCAAAAAACAGAAAGTCTTAGAAAAGATTTTTGTTCATTTCTTCTGGGGAAAAATCTATAACATCTAAACAACAACAAAAAAAGCATCTGAAATCAACTAATTTGATCCAGAATAGTAAACAGTGATCTGCCTTCAGTCCTCTGGGTCTTGTCACAGATGGTGCTAATAGTAATAGTAATAGTAATAGTAATAGTAATAGTAATAGTAACAGGAAGTATCCTGGGAGTACAGGAGCAATGATTCTCACTCTGCCCTTTTCACATCATTTGCTTTCTCCCTTTGTCCTCTTCCTTCTAGTTTACCATGGGCACACATTACTTTTTCAACCAACAAAGAAACTAAAACAAAATGCGGTCAGTATTAGGTCACTTAATATTAAGAACTATCTGAAATACACACAATGGATTCTATCATCTACTTTACATAAAGAAAAAAAAAGAGCTAATAGAAAAGCCTGAACAACTTCTCCTTGATCACAAGACCCATGAGTAAATAATTTGCAATCCAAACCAACATCCTCAACTTTCAGTTAGAATCTCTCTCTCTCTCTCTCTCTCTCTCTCTGTCTCTCTCTTGGCATGCGTGTGTGTGTGTGCGTGTGTGTCTGTTTCCCTAACTTTTGCAGAATTATACTCTGTCCAGTAATGAGTGAAAGTGTTTGGCAGAGGCATGATGGTGAACTATACCTAGAGTTCGTTGCTGAAGACAGCTTCTGTTTTGGGGAAACTGGAATTTCTACTCAGTACACAGTACATTTATGTAATGTTAACAATACTTAGTTACTGTTGAGTCCTGTGAATTTTCAGACTCACAAATATGTGCTTGGTCAAACTAATGCTGTGTGTAAAAATAGAAAACATTCCATTTAGAAGCAAGCACAATACTGGAAGGATGGCATGCTTCTCTTCAAGTGTGATGCACACACTACATAGGAATGTCCCTCTGCCATTAAAGAAAATAGCTTCCTCCACCAAGCTCTTGCCTCTCGTGCTGTTTACATTTCTGTACAAGTTTTTACTTCTTGTGTAGTGTCCCAGGGTGTTATTAAAGCCATAGTGGCTACATCGTGGATGAAATAACACAACAGACTAAACAATGAGGATGACCTTCAAAAGACTCCACATTTTAATACGGTAAGTGTATAATAATAGTCCACGTGGTATTTTACAG